ACTTCTCAAACATCCTTTAGTGGTTTATCTAAACCATCATTTGGAAGTCAACCATCACCATCATTCGGAAGTTTCCAGCCAAGCAATAATATCAGTTCTTTACCCGCATCAACAACTTCTGGGGCAGGATTAGGGTTCGGAGGAATTAAGGCTACTACCGCATCTACCTCAGGTCCAAGTTTTGGCTTGGGAAGTGTGGGAAGCGGTGGCAGTGGTTTCTTGGGTGGGTCTGGGACTGCAAAGACAACCACTCTTCCTCCTTCTCCCTTTGGAAATTTAAATAGACCAAGCGGTTTAGGCCCTACCACAACAGCTTCCAATTTACAGACTGGATTCAACCTTCCAACTTCAACATCTCCGAGTCAAAATTCGAATCTTTTTTCTAGAATAAGTAGTTTAAATTCTACACAAGCATCTACTATTAAACCATTTTCAGCATTCAGCGCTGGCACAACCACCACAAGCGCACCATCAATTTTCACAGCTTCAGGTGAGAATGAAATCATGTATATAATTTTTTTTTTTTTTGAAATATTTGACTAATGATGTCGGGTGTGCAGCTTCGACAACAACACCGGCTACACCTGTAACAAAACCTCCTTCAATTATACCACAGTCCACAACTGTTGGACTTTTTCAGCCTACGCCATCGTCATCCACAACACCTCAATTTGGTTTAAGACCAACTTTAAAAACATCAGTCGGTACAGGAGGATTTACGACAGGGACATCCATCTCAATTGGTGCAACGACGCAACCGTCTACAGTAACAAATGAAACAACGTCAGCTTCATCAGCTTGGTTAAAGAATAGTAATATTGAAACCATAATTAATAGATGGAAAAAAGATTTAGATATTTTTCTCAAAAAATTTCATAGTCAAGCAAGTGAATTAAGAGAATGGGACCAAAAAATCATTGAGAATTCTGGAAGGGTAAGTAATAATAAGATCCAATTTATTATAATTTTAATCACGATTTTCTTAAAAAAAAAATTTTTTTTTGATACATTACAGATAGTTAAACTAGAAGAAGAATTAAGTAAAGCCGATTTGATTCAGTCTGAAATAGATTCAGGTCTGGAGAGTATTGCAACGCGTCAGGATGAGCTTGAAAAAATGTTATCGGAGTATGAGGTGAAATTTTCTGAACCAGTGTTGGATAGTACAAGACCTTTGGATAAAGAGAGAGAGAAAAAGTAATATTTGTTTTCGTTTTATATTCTGATATTTATTACATAAATTCAAAATTTAATTTCCTGATTTAACGTCACTTTTTTTTCCTCGAAAATAGTTATGATATGGCTGAAGAAATTAATCAAGAATTGGGTGAAATGAGTCAAGTTTTATCCACCATTATTACTGATGTAAATCAAAATGTAATAAAACCTTCTAATAGTGATGAAATAAACGGAAGCCATGAAATAATTGAGAAGG